AACTGAACCCTAAGAAATTTAAGTTTGCTAAATTTGAGGTACTATACCTTGGACAAATAGTGAACGAAAAAACATTAAGGCTTGAAGAGAAGAAAATAACAGCAATTCGGGATTGACCCAGACCTAAGACTGTCACTGAACTAAGATCTTTTCTAGGACTTGCTAGTTACTATAAGAAGTTTGTAAGGAACTTTTTAGTGATAGCTGCATCTATAAGAAGACTCTTGAAGAAAGAAAAAACTTGGTTATGGGACAAATATTATGAGTCTACATTTAAAAAGTTAAAGCATGTGTTAACTCATTAGCCTGTCTTGAAAATTGTTGATATTTCCCTACCTTCCATTGTAACTACTGATGTTAGTCAGTATGGAGTTGGGGCAGTGCTACAACAAGATGAAGACAAGGGATATAGAGCCATTGAGTTTATGTCCAAGCATCTTTCGTCTGACAAGGTGGCCAGCTCCACGTACGAAAGAGAATTGTATGCCTTAGTTGCAACTCTGGACACATGGAAGCACTACTTGCTCGGGAAACACTTCACTGTTTACTCAAACCACTCTACTTTTAAGTGGATAAAAACTCAACCTCGACTCTCCGACAAGTTAGTTCAATGGTATGCATTCATTGATACGTTTGACTTTGAATTGAAAAGTATTAAAGGAAAGTTTAACTTTGTTGCATATGTTTTGTCCAGACGATCTGATTTCTTTGGAGCTGTTGTTTCTTATCTTGATATTGGGAATGAATTGAAAGACCAAGTCCATAAGGGTTACGTTGATGATCCAATTGGGAGTCCCATCATTGAGACCCTACAAAGAAACTCTGAACTTTTCCCTTAATATCGAATGTCTGATGGCTTACTCTTTTTCATTGACAAAGCTGAAGAAAGACTTTGCATTTCACACAAGGAACAAATTAAGAGTATGATTATTGGGGAATGACATGACACTGAAGGACACTTGGGGTTTAAGAAGACGTATGTTAATGTTAGAGAACACTTTTAATGAAAAGGAATAAATAAGGATGTGCTAACCTATATGTGAACTTGTCTTGTTTGACAAAGGAACAAACCCTTGCATTAGAATCAATTGGGATTGTTGAGAAAACTACCTATTCCAAGTGAGTCAGGTGAGTCCATCTCGATCGATTTTATGAGTCTCACTAAGAGTCAGAATGACAATAGTCAGGCAATGACTCAGGTAATGGTCATTGTGGATCGATTCTCTAAATATCCTATGTTCATTCCTCTACGTGTCGAAGCTAGAACGAAACTCATCATCCAGAAGTTTCAGATGCGATAGGTTTCGAAATATGGATTTCCAAAAACCATCATCTCTGATTGGGATGCGCGGTTCACTGACCAACAATGGCAAAAGTTGATGAAGGCATAATGGCACCTGATTGACCATGTCGTGAGGGAGACACCCTGAAACGAATGGGCAAACTGAACAAATGAATCGTCTGTGCGAACAACTTTTGCGAATGTATGTACGGCTAGATCAGATCGATTGGGATAAGAACTTGCCTAAGATTGCAAGCGTGTACAACAATAGTGTTCACACCGTCACTGGCAGAATATCGAACGCAATTCACAAAGGATGGAAGCCGCAACGTCCCATTGATGCTTTGAAACGGGATCGAATCCAAAGGCTACCCCCGGGAACACAAAAATTTGCAGTTCTGTATGAAGAGGACATAAAGAAAGTCAAGGAAAGTATTCAAAAAGCTCAACTACAAATGATTGAACAAGTTAATAAACATCGTCGGCCATCAGAGTTCAAAGCAAGATATCTTGTTTGAGTCAAGTCTAAAAAAATTTCCTTAGAAGAAAATGTATCACTGAAACTGCTACATGTCTACTACGGACCCTGGGAAGTTCTCAAGGTGATAGGGGATACTGATGGACCATCATACATAATAGATGTACCCACACACCTCAAAACATATCCCATTCTTCATGCCTCTAAGCTACTGCCATATCTAGAAGGACATGATTTTCCCAATAGGCCTTCTACGTTTCCTACTTCAATGGATGGAGGCTATGAAGTTGAGAACATACTTGAACATGGATATTTTTCTACAGGAGGCAGAGGTAGGCCACAAAAGCAGTTCAAGGTAAAGTTTAAGTCTCAACCCCCATCTGAAGCTCGATGGTTTAGCAAAAATGAGCTTCTACCTACCGCTCCTGATATTTTATTTGCATACAAGCGTGGATTAATAGAAACTTAGTCAAAAGATTAGATTTCTGCAATGAAATTCGAAAATTAGGCCGGCAAGAATGCAATGAGCCGCTCAAACATGCTTCTATCGTCGGTCAGGGGGGGCACCCATAGGCCACAGTTGGGCATCAGCAAGACCCTGCGTCCGACTGTGCGAAACAAGGCCCTGAAATGAGGCTTCAAAGGCCCTGCATACGACAGTAAAGACCGAAGTCAACTGTAACTCGGAATATTGAGGCTTACGAGTCAAAGTCTGCACGGACCCAGTCCAGGCCACCGACCAGACACACACACTTAGCTGTACGCAGGGATCCGGGCAACATTTGGTCCAAGTGGAAGTCTGTAACTATACGCGATCCAGGCCATCGGCTGAGTCAATCCGAGTCTTTGCACAAACGGCGTCAACATTATTTATTGATCCAGCCCCTGGGGGTCAACATTCAGTCTTGCACTTGCTGCTTCGCACTGACACGACGTTGGCTGGATGCTGGCTTGACGCTGGCCAAACGCTGGCATTGTGCGACGACGACGCGAGACTTCTCCATTGCATCTGGTGCCCCTCTGCTTTTGGGCGCCAACTGTCATCTTGGCGCATGCCACATTGTCTTCGACTTAGATTGGGGATTCGACAAGGAGGGAGATGAGGAACTCTGGGATCGATCGAGTGAGAGAGAGAGGGAAACTTACCTGTTGATGTTGTCAACATTGCACGCTGTAGTGACGTCTTCATGGAAGATTTGTCTACGTGGCACTATGCTGTGATCAGATCTTGTCAGACTCGTTTCTGGGATACTGTTTGCTGACGTGGACGTGGGGAGATGCCCGAAGAAGGAGTGGGGATTGAGGGAGATCTATCTACAACGACATTGATGGATACTTTTTCCACCCTCTAAGTTTATTCTCCCGTCTATCCGCTTTGTCCTATGGTTACGAGAGATTGTACTACAGATCACATTTCACGATTATTGGAGACATTTATCAACGCTGAGACATCTTGTATTTCGACACTTGATGAGTTTTTCTCTGGACTCGGTTCATTACCTCCATCTTCGTCTCACCCTTCCTCCCTCACCTCACCGTGGTATCTCCCCATGTGCGTATCAAAGGAGGGACCTTTCTTCTCTCAGGTCATATCTTTGAGTCTTCCGCTGCGCTACATTGTGTTATTTTTGTATGTATCTGGATGTACATTGCTTGTTGATGCTTCGTTGATGATGCATTGTCCATTCGAGTCCTTTTCATCACTTTGCGGATCCTTTGGCTCCATATACATCGCTCGATCGAGTATGGAGTCTCGAGTGCCAGCTTGAAATGGCAATTTCGGTAGAAAAGGATCCTTTGGTCCCTTTTTTTTTTGTTTGTTTGTCTGACACCACTGCGATAACCCGCTCGTCATGCCCTATTGTTGCCGAGGGGCACAGGCAGGCCGCGACAACCAGGGGGAGGAAAACCCCCGAAAAAGGCTTAGCGCCCAACAGTTGACTTCGGTCAACTGCCCAACGGCCCAAGAGTCAAACTCTTTATGGACCCAGCCCAGGCCGCCGGTCAGACACACACACGTGTTTGTATGTAGGTACCAAGACAGCATTCCGACCAAGTGGAAGTCTGCAACTGTATGAGATCCAGGCCATCAGCTGTGAGTCAATCTGAGCCACCGTGGGTGGGAGACCTGAGGCAGGTCAACCTCGTCAAATGCTACTTAAGGCCCTGCCTCCAGGGAGTCAACATTCAGTCTTGCTATGCTGACTTGACTCTAGCTGGACGCTGGCTTGACGATGGCTGGACGCTGGCTTGACGCTGGCTGTACGCTGGCACTGTGGACGACGACACGAGACGTGCGTGTTGGCGCCTTCCTGTCTTGGCGCCAGCTGTCTACTTGCTGATGTGGCGCATGCCACCCTGTCTTCATTGCTGGCATGGCATTTGCCACGTTGTCTTCATTGTTGAGTTGGACGCGTCAAGGAGGGAGATCGGGATCTGTGGATTGATTGGTTGAGAGAAAGGATACTTACCTGTGGCTGATGTCAATATTGTGCACTGCTGAACGTCTTCACGGGAGAACTGTGCCACGTGGCACTCTGATGTGATTTGGCCCTGTCAGGCCCGTTCTGGACACTGTTGCTGATGTGGAGGCGAGGGGAAGCCCGTAGAAGAAGAGGGAAATGTCGGGCTACAATCTCTGTGGTCATTGATGGATACTTGCTCTTCCACCCTCTAAATCGTCTAATCTCCCCTTCCAGTCTTCGTCTATTGGTTACGAGACATTGTATTACGGATCACATTTCTGGAATATTGGAGACCTTAATCAGCGCTGAGTTATCTTGTACTTCGACGGTTGACGAGTATCTTCCAGACAGGGTTCATTACACCACGGCCGACCCCTGTAGTTATGAGACCCTTGCCTTCATCACAGCCGCGGTACTTTCGTTGCTTTTTTAAACTCGGCGGCTGTTTTCTGTGCATGAGCATTTTTTTTTTGCACATTAGAAACTCAAAAGTGACATCAACATGCTTGCTCATTGATGAAAAAAGGTATGCCACAGGTGCATGCACTGTGCTATGCTTCGTATTGCCAGTCACCTCAGTGTGTAGGTAAGAAGTAATATCATCACCTCCAACTGATGAACATCCTCCGCAAACTTGGAGCTCTGGAGTCTGAGGACAATCAATGAAGTGTGTGTTGCATGATGATGACCATGAGGAGGAGGAGGAGGAGGAGGAGGAGGAGGATATCTGTTCAATAGTTTTAAAAACTTCACTGTATTTGTGTTTCTGTCGCAGGCCTGTGATATGTATGAGCTAGCTCGGATTGCAGACGAATTCGGCAATGGTGAGTTGCGTTTGACTGTGGAGCAAAACATGATTATACCAAATGTCTGCAATGAGCGGGTAGAGAGACTGCTTGCCGAGCCGCTGCTGAAAAAGTTCAGCCCGGTGCCAAGCCGTTTCATGTCAGGACTGGTTGCATGCACAGGAAACCAGTTCTGTGGGCTCGCTCTGATCGAGACAAAACAGGCTGCACTCATGCTTGCCCAGTCTTTAGAGGAGACGATTGAAGTTCCCCATGCAGGTACGTTCACTATCTCAGATACAATATGAGTCTGGTGTGGCACTCTTGGGACTGGGACAAGAGTGGAAATAATGTTGACGAGTCTGGCATGTGACCCTTGGGACCGGGGTGATGACAGAAACAGCGTTGGTGATGTATTCGCGCAGCAAATGCTGGCCCTTCCTTCTCCTCTGTCATGGCACTCTTAGGACTGGAACTGGGACAAAAGAAACCTTGATGAGTCTGTCATGGCACTCTTGTGGTTGGTGCTGGGCCTGGGGATGGGACACTGAAAGAAATAACCTTGACGAGTCCGGCATGGAACTCTTGGGACTGGGACAAAAATAACCTTGACGAGTCTGCCATGGCACTCTTGGCACTGGGACTGGGACTGAACCTGAGCCTGGGACAAAAATATCCGTGAGGTCTGCCATGGCACTAGTGGGACTGAGAGTGGGACACTGAAAGAAATAACCTCGATGTATCTGGCATGGCACTCTTGCGGTTGGGACAGGGATTGNGTCTGCCATGGCACTAGTGGGACTGAGAGTGGGACACTGAAAGAAATAACCTCGATGTATCTGGCATGGCACTCTTGCGGTTGGGACAGGGATTGGGACTGTGCCATGGCACTCTTGGCACTGGGACTGGGAGTGAACCTGAGTCTGGGACAAAAATAACCGTGATGTCTGCCATGGCACTAGTGGGACTGAGAGTGGGACACTGAAAGAAATAACCTCGATGTATCTGGCATGGCACTCTTGNGACAAAAATAACCGTGATGTCTGCCATGGCACTAGTGGGACTGAGAGTGGGACACTGAAAGAAATAACCTCGATGTATCTGGCATGGCACTCTTGTGGTTGGGACAGGGATTGGGACTGTGATCGGGACTGCGACAAAGGTAACCCTGAGGAGTCTGGCATGGCACCCTAGGGACTCAGGCGATGACAGAAATAACCTGCACGAGTTTGGAAATTCTGAGTTAAACCACCAGTACTTCCTAAAGTTGTGCCCATTAAAGACCACAATTTTAGGAGACGTACGGGCCACTACAGGAGTGCTCAAATCCATCCGAGTAGAAACGTTTCTACTCTATTTTTTCCCACGGCTGATAGCTGGGCCAAGTACTCATGGCTTAAGCCAGTTGGTATGTATGTGGGCCTCTGCAAAATCACAGTACAGATCAGACGTGTTTGGTAAGTAGATGTAAATAATATCCTCCCTTCTTCTCCTCTGTACAAAAATATGCTGTCTGCCTGATCAGGAATGAGAAACGATCTCCTCGGAAAAAAAAAACAAAAAAAAACACGACCTCCAATAAAGACAATCAACAGGCATCCATTTCAGACCAGATAAATGCAGACAACATACAATACAGCCATGCCCAGTCAAGGAGGACTGGAAAACCTAAGTTTTGACAATTTGCGCCTGGAACGTCAATGGCCTAGGCAATGCATTAAACTACCAGTACACCCAGGCCTGGTGGGGCTGCACTGTGCACCAAGCTTTGCCGAACTGCCAGCGGCGCACGTTTTTGTTTTCTTTGGCTGGCATCGGCAGCCATTTTGGTCTGGTAGCCCCGAGCCTCCGAGATTTTTGTAAGTGATAAAATGAAATCTCCACAAGGCTGAGGCCGTGTACTTGTGGTTTCACGAGCAAGGATGAAATGAAAGATGTGAGAGCAGACCTACAACCTAGCTCAGTTGGTACACCCCTGTTAAAGCAGACCTGAGTTTGAACTCCAGTGGAAAGAAATTCGTGAACTACTAAAACAGGCCTACCGGATAAAGTCAAAATGAGACCGGATGCTATTCTACTGCAGGAAACCAGTGTAGTCACGAGGAGATCTCCATCGGCCATGCCAGGGTTGGGCTATTGACCCCCTGGGGTGGGAGGGGCCTGGGTTGGGTAGATTTTTTTTGTTCCGTTTTCTCTGCTCCCTGCGATCCCTATGTCGGGAAATGCATTTAATCTTTTTATTTTTGGTGGGACTCTTGTGCAAGGAAAATGAACAGAAGCGAGATGACAATATTCAGATTGCACAATCACATTGAAGGCCAGATCGTATCACAGTGTTCAGAAAGTAGCATTGCACCAATATGACACCAGTGGAGAATAGTAGCACTGAAAACCAATGTCAATGAGAGCTTACTCTCGCCACCAGCAACATATGTATCCACTCCCTATCTTTGTACTTGGCGCTCGGCGCCCAGCCTACTCCCTACACAGCTGCTACTAGCCTACTGTGGCATTCTGAGCCACATGGGCCCCAGTTAGGGCCCGGTTCCAGACAGGTAGGGTAGGCCTAAGGGACAACGGTTCAGATGAGGCCAGATGGGCCTGGACCACGGCGGTTCAGGCAGGCCTAGGCCAAACGGCCACAAGGCCGGTACCGGTCCAGCCTAGGACCCACCGACAGCGTTTCAGAGGCTGCCACAGTTTAGGCGCCAACCAGTTTTAAAACTGGACCGTTGATCTAGATCAACGGTCCAGGCCGGTAGGTACCAGCGGGTAGGAGGCTGGCCCAGCACTACAAAAGGCTGGGTACCAGCCTCAGTAAGGAGGTTAGTATAGACGAGAGGTTAGTCTTCAGGATTAGCGCATCAGCTTCAGCGTTAGCTCTTTTAGCGCAGCGCTGCAGCACAGCACGGAGCAGCGAGAGCGAAGAGTCCAGCGGCGAGCCGATTAGCACAGCACTTGGGCGCAGCGCCAGTTACCGGCCCAGCCCTTGCAGCGCCATAGCGACGGTACCAGGTATCAGGGAGGAAGGCTTCGCCTTCTCTCCCTCTTCTCCTCCATCGCTCCTCTCTCCTCTCTCTCTCTCTCTCTCCCCTCCTACCTTCTCAGTCTCAGTCTAAATTTGGGTTCTCCTACGGGACTACTGTAGTATGAAGGATGGTTACGAATTCTGATAACATGGGAACGGCGACATTGGGACTACGACTTGAGGACTACTTGGGGATCTGATTTCATCTTCTTTCTGAAGATGTACTTGACATTGTGAGACCGATATCTGAGACATTGTGAGACTTGGCATTCGCGACACTTCTGACATTTCAAGATACTATCTTTGGAGACATTGAGTTGACGTCATCTTCCCCTCTCCTCCTCCTTTCGTCTCTCCCTCTCTCCCTTCGTCTGTGGATGATCTCAGTCCCTGGCC